GGATGTATGTGCAGGATGGACCAGTGATGGTGGTGGGGACAGGGCTCTAGTGATACATGGAAGCTGGAGTTTTAACAAGACTTGTTTGTTTTCTCCACAGGGGATTCATTGGTCAAACACAAAAACATGCTGTTTTCATCCAAAGACCGTGATAACAATGCATACTCTAATAACTTACAAAGGTGCCTGGTGGTACCACCAGTGCCACAGCCCCAACCTCAATGGCTTTTACCACTATGGAGCTCATGACAGGTTTGCAGATGGCATCAACAGGCAGACAGGCAAAGGTTACTCTTACCAGCTGTTGGAGATGAAATTCAGGCCAATGTAGCCTAGCAGGAAGGCTGTGGTTTGTCTGTGGCTTTCAGGAATTTTTTCAGTGACACAGGTTGTTGCCAGCAGAGCTGGATTTCAGCTGGATTTTAGCTCCATGTGGGGCAACAGTCCAGCTCCAGCAGCACTCAGGCATTTGTCTTCACTCCCAGCTCAGGCTAAAGGAAAAGAAAAAGTTACTTTCTACAAGATTCATTTATGCTGAAACAAACAAAACTAAAATAAAGAAATGTTTGTTTAAAACCTTATACTTTTCTGAGTAACAAAGTCACTCAGTAGTCCTACCAAAGCCACAATGGATATCAAATCAGAGAACAAAATACTGGAGTGAGTGGCCCGTTTGCCAAACCATTAACACTGAATCTGCACCTTTCCTCTCGAGGCTCAGCTGAACACTGTCACTCGAGAAGATACTATTAAACAGCCTGAAAAGATTTACAATAGAGAAACTACAATAGAGTTCAGCCCTGCAGGAAACCAGGGAAGTCTATCCCTCAGCTTTCCTGAAAATCCAGTCCTTATTCTCCATATTAAAAAGTCCAGCATGGTTTTATGGCTTGTATTGCACAATGTCTGGAGGGAGCCAGAAAACCTGGACCGAGCTGTTATGCTTGACATACAGCACTGCAGATAGCGGTGCCTGTTTGTGGAAATAGTTTCCTATTCTAAGCTCTTCAGCTGCTTAACTCTGCAAAGTTACTGGACTCAAGTCAGGAGAGCATGAAAATCTGGAGAGGAAGGAAGCAAATATTGTAATGCAGTGGTCACTAAAAAATGGGACATTTGAGGCCTGAATGGGCATAGTAAGAGAAGTACATGCAAACCCTTCACCAAGAACCAAATAATTCACCTCATGCAGGTATAACTTCCAGTTGTGTGACATTTGTCTGGTCCAACAGCAGGCAAATTATTGGGGAAATTATTCTGCTGTTTAGCTCTTGCTGTCCTTGCCCATTTGGTGTGCATAGCCTCATCAGATGCCCTCACAGCAAGAGCCTCCTTTGCCCCTTTCCTGAGCACATTCCTCATCCAACCATTTGTGCCAGAGTGACCAATCCCTCCTGTGTCTCTACTACTCTGTACATGGGGAAATTAATATCAGCAAAGGAAAAGGGCTTGTGCCCTTTTCCTTTCCACTCTTCAGGATTTATCTGAGGAGGGAGGGTGCACATCTCTGCCTGTCTTCCCTGCTCTCAGTGATGAACAGCTGGCAGCCTTTCACAGATCAGAAGAGGTGTTACCAGAGATTATAAAATAAGTTAAAAATGGAATACAGCAGGAAATATCTTGTCAAAGCAGAGGCTGATAGAGAGGCTGGGAGGAAAGAAACCACTGAAATGAAATCCTTTTTGGGTAGGTTCTCTCAATATGTTATCATAAGGAGAGTTAAGCAAAGGCTCCCCAGCACCAGCTCCTAGAGGAAACCGAGCAAATGCCAAACCAAATGTTCAGCAAGGGCATGCAGCTGGTGTGCAATAACTGACAAAGACCTGTCCTAATTGGCTCTTGAAATTAGGAAACCACTGTGCCCCAAAATCAGTGTACAGAAATGTGGGGAAGGAGCCCCTAAATGCACTGCCTGGCTGTCCAGTACTAAGACATGCTACAGTCAGCACCAGCTATGGAAAAGGTTGGCTTTGCTCTGCCCAGCAAAGCAGACTTGTCTGTGGGCATCAGTCAAGACCAATGAAACCAGCAGCCTGAGCTCCTCACAGCCAGGAACTTCCATTGAAGCTTCCCTAGGAAAGCAGAGAGTGAAACCTTGTTCAGCCACACAGCATGTGAAACCCAAGGGGTAAGCAGGGAGAAGTCTTCTCCCTTTGCTTCCCCACATTTCCCTTCCCTGGCGAGGACAACTGTCTTTAGAAACTCTACCAGTTACCTTTGCCTTTTGGGAGCCTCAGAAACTCCTTGAAACTGTTTTTGTAGTAAGGACAAGGGAAATTTGCAGCAGGGCTCTTAGCACTGAGGGGCTTGGGCACTCAAAGATGCCATATGCTCACAAAACCCAGAAGCAGAAAGGGAAAACCAAGAGATATCTTTTGAAAAAACTGCTGTCTGACCTTGGGCAAATATCCCTACCACAGGTATTAAGACGGGTTATGGGCTGAAGAAATTCTCCCTTGGAAATATAAGTATTCCTCAAAATAACCCTGGAAATTTTGTTATTTGCACATAGTGAAGAGCTTTAAATAGCATAGTCCACAAAAGGCTAAGCCAGAAGAACATCTTTCCTTGTTGCTTTGGATGAAAACCTACCCTTGCAGGTTGACATCACTCCTTTCCCAGCAAAGCAAGTCTCCTAAGCGCATGGAAGCTCCCCTTGAGCACGCGCAATGGTGCCAACTCTCAAGCAAGCTCTTTTTTCACATTGCTTGAAGTCAGATGTGTCAGAGCTTACCTCCCAGCTCCCCAGTGCCAACTGCCCTTCTTGCAGCTTTAGGAGTTGCGTAGTAATGTCCTTAGTTTAGCACAGAGCAGAGGAATGCAATGTCTGGGGCTTGCTGCATGTTGTTTTAGGTACTTACAGCTTTTGCAGCTTTCCCCATCCCCACTGCAAAGCTCTAGCATCCTGGTGGCAGCAAAGCCCCAGGGCCACACCCGGAGCCAGGATTTCACCTACAATTTTGCATTAATCAGTGCTAAACCCCCTGTTGCACGCAGTTATGATGTTCCCACATGAACTTTTTGAAGCTCCTCTGTCATCTGGTTATGCCTTCTGATTTTCTAAGCTTAATTTCTTGCAGATTTGCAGATCAGTTCAATTCTGGGAACTTCACTCTTGGCATGTATGTCTCTAGAGGTGAAGTGATGGGTCACAGTGTTCAGAGGTGCTCCCCATTCACCCAGTGTGCTTAAAATTCTTGTTTTCTCATCCCCAAAGTGATCCTGGACTTCTGAGATTTACAGGGGACATTTTCCAGGGCTCAAGGAAGAATCTACCTAGAAAAAAGAATTGCTGGTGGTGTAAATGATCAGGCCTCTGCAATCTTCACTGGGTCCTGGCATGAGGAAAAGCAATTAAGGACATATTGATCACTGGGCCAATTTCAAAATCGACCCTTGGGGGCCTGACCTACTTTCGCCTAAGCTTGTTCATTGGCAGTTTCCCCCTGCTCCCAAAAGTAGCTGCATCCACAAGGACACTGCTGCTCTCCTTGGATGGAAGTGGGTTGACATCTCCAGGTGTCCCCCAGGTTGGATGGAGCCTGCAGCTGGTAACACCTAAGGGGATGCACCAGTGCTGGGCAAATGCATCACAGCTACCTCCACAACATGCGTTCTCAGCCCAACCCAGAGCTGGCCACCCTGCTAATGGAGCAACTGGGAAAAGCTGGACAAACCCATTCTTACTTTTCTTTTTTTTGGCAGGACGGATCTAGCCTGGATCCCTTAAGAGACTGTAATGATGGGGTAATCTGCGAGACAAATTTTGCCATTGCTTTTTGGAGTGATTTACTAAGGGAAACAGCTGAGGGCAGCAGCTTTTGCCTCCAGATATTAGGAACAAGGTATTGCAGCCACTTCCAGGCACAGAGCACAGGATATAAGGCACTGGGTAGGAAAAGGCTTCTCAGTGCTAGGGGCTGGCTCTTCTTCATCTCCACCTGCCCCATGGGGCAGACACAGTTCTGTCCCAGATGGGCAGCACAGGCTGTACAGATGAGAGAAGAGGAGTGCGCAAGTCACCCTGTAGCTGCCCTGCATAGACCTCTCCCTCCCTAGCAGCTCAGAGGCACCTGCTCATCCTTCTTCTCTTTCCTTCTGAAAGGCTGAAGAAAGAAGCTGCTCTCATTTCACCCCAAGAATTGCATGCAGCGCGCTTGCCACAGATAATGAGATACTTTTTCCCATGCAAAGCAAATCCCAAACTTGAATGCAACCAGTCGGATCACAATCCCTCTGATTTCCCTGCACTTTTTTCAGATGGGGCAGGAAAGTAAAGTGTGCATTTCCCTGCCAGAATTGGTTCTCAGGAGTGACAATAATCACAACATCTACTGGATTATTATTTTATATGCATGCATATATGAATTTGTATATGAGTGTGTGTATGTATGGGCTATTTGGGGGACACAGAATTTAAGTGACAGCCAAAAACTTATCTCCCCCCTGCTTTCTCCCATTTGCTTCACCTTAAAGAAAGCTGTCATATATCATTGGAATTTGGGATGTTAGAGGAACCTCATGATAGAAGCAAATGCTTGAGTGGTAGCTATGTTCTGCCTCTGACATCCTGATAGCTGGGAAAGGCTCCAAGAAATACGAATATTCTCCGAACTGGCATGCAATGGTAAGGAGAAAAAAACCTTAAACTCTGCCCTTTGCTAAAATTCATAAACTTTACAGGCTCTATGTCTGAAGGTAACACGGGGGGTCAAACTCGATAAGGCAGTTTGGACCTGTAGTAATGCTGCCACAAATGAGCAGAGCACAGGGCATAGCAACAGCAAAGCAAAACGGAAATCCTGCTCATTATTACAATGAACAGGGACTAGAGAAAAAAAAAGGTGAGAAAAAAAATCAGACATGCTCTGCCCACCTAACCTTGCCTGGATACACAGAGTTTTAACTCCATATCAGTCATGGATCATGTATAAATTGAAACCTCTGTCTGAAGGGTTGCAAAATGACACTGGGCTGCCTGTCAGGCAGAGCATTGGAGCATGAGCCAGGCTGTGCCAGTGGCCTCAGCTGACCTTGGGCTTTTCATCTCCCAGTACCTCAGTTTCCCCATCTACACGGTAAGCTCTGCACTTTGTAAATGGCCACTGGCAAGCAGGGTGAGGGGAGGTGTCTGCTCTTAGCTAAACCTATGTTTTTGCAGGTTCATTTCCTCTAGAAATATAAAATGGGAGGGGAAAGGCATCCAAAATTTGCTGAGGACAGAGGCGAAGCAGGCTGGGGCAGCCAGGCAAGAACTTTCCCATCAGACTTGTGGAAAGTGGCTTATCTGGGAAACAGCTTGAGACCCAGCCAGAGTCCCAGACCTGAGAGCAGGCAGTGGGCAAGCGCAGAGGTGGAGCTTACAAGGGGTTTTGGTTTTTTTTTGTTAGATATAAAAGGCTTAGATGAGTCGATGCTAACCACAGCGCCTGGGACGTGGATGAGGGGAGCTCCGCAGAGAGCGGAGAGCAGTGCTGGCCATGGGGAGGGCAGCCACAACCCTCTTGGCTCTGCTCAGCCTAGCAGCAACTATTTGTGATGCCCAGGACACCTGCCCAGGTGAGTGGGGCACAAATCCTACTGCCATCCTGCTGAGACAGCCTGTTTCATCTCCCCCATAACACAAGGAGCTGGGGGGAAGAGGGGGGGATATGATTTTTTTCTTCTATGTTTTTTTTAATTCAGCTGCAAGTGGGAGGAGGGTAAGGGGAGGCTGAAGTCTCAGCAGCCACATAACAAAAATCCTGGCTCCAAACAAAGACGTAGCATCCTCCCCCACTCACTAGTGGGATCTCCAGAAACAGGCTGTCCCAGTTGTGGTTTTCCTTTCTCGTTAAGGTTTTTTTTTCCTGGTGCCTTGGCCCAGTTACGAAAGGATGCAGAGCAATACTAAGGATCGGTCAAGTGCTTGCTGGGTCCCAGGCACCCTGGTAGCTTGGGGACGCTGCACACCACAGCTTTCTGCCTATATTCCTTGGGAACATGATGGGGCGATTTCAAACTGACATGCTCTCAGGAAATTTAGTAGAACCTTTACTGTCCACAGATCCATCAATGTCACTTACTCTGCTGTCAATACCCCCTCAGGGCACCTCTCACCTTTTGTTTTACTGAGCTACAGTATATGTGTCATGCATGTAATGTCATATATAACAGCTTCCTCTCCCACTGAACTCCCGTGAAGCCTGAGAGAGTCAGTGTCTAGCTCCTCTAATATGTTAGATCCTCCATGCCATCTGTTAATCCATACAACACCTCCAGACTCCCACCCCCATTGCTTTTGCTTGCACTGTTCCTCAACTCCAGAGGGTTTGGTTTCCTCTCCAAGACATTTCAGAGCCCTAATAATCTCCATGAAGACTGTCTTCATTTCCTCAGAGGTGAGAATAGTGGGACTGGGTGATGCGGACCGGCTCGCCATTCTCCAAGGATGCCCAGGGATCCCAGGTGCCTCTGGCCCAAAAGGAGAACCAGGCCTCTCAGGAGCAAAAGGTGAGGCCCCAAAAGCTGGTGATGAACACTGTGATATTAGATGGCTTTGTTGCTGAGTAAGGGAAGCAAGCTAAGGCTGGAGCAGTGGCTGGCCTGGCATTGGCTTCTGTGAGCATCTGGAGTATCAAATAGGAGTGGAAAACACCCCATCTAGAGATGTGCTGGTACATGCAGAGTCATCTTTTTTTCCCTGAGTCCTGTCACAAGTCTGAAGTGGTCGTGGGGTGTGAAGTGTCAGAACTCACTTGTTTCTGCTACAGTAAAAACATCCATTTATTTTCTGAGCCTTTACTGAACAGCTTAGGTGGGAGGAAGGCTGCAATGCCTCCATTGTCTACTGGGAAACAGTCTTGGAACTGTACTGGCACCCCCTACCCCAGGAAGCAAGGGAGATGGGGGTCCTTCAGGGTTTTCATAGCCAACTTATAGAGAAGGTGAATCACGTTAGCAGAGGGAGCAGATCCACTGCAGCAAAATCCATGGACTGTCTTCAAGATGTACAAAGCTCATAGTAATTCATATGTGTACTGCAAATTAGGAATTACACTGGCGGTACCAGTGTAATGTAGCGTCCACAGAAGAAAAGGAGTAAGATACATTGCAAGATTGAACCTAATTAAAAAAACCCAGCTGCTTTGTTTCTGCAAAAGCCAAGGCCCAGCTACCTGGGCTTTTGTATCACCTCCCCTCTGGTAAGTTTGCAACATGCACATACAAACTGAGTCTTTCCTTGCAGGAGAAACGGGAGCCCAGGGACTCCCTGGGAAAGCAGGACCACCTGGTGCAAAAGGTAATGCATAACATATTCAGCTCTACTCCATAAATCTACCCAAGTTCAGGACATGCATTGGGAGTCTGGGTCTACAGAGATGAACTGTAGAGCTGGTCATAGTCCAAGAAACAGCCCTGAAGTAGCATAGGAAAAGCAGGATTTGGGGGTATGGATCTTGCATGGGGTGAGTACTAGAAACAGTGTCCTTGATTGGGACTACATCACAGAGGAAGATACTATTCTTCTCAAAGTTCCCCACTGACCCTTACCAGCCCCCTAAAATCAGACTTCTCCCCATTTCCCACTGCTATCCTAACCTGCCTCCACCCCAACAAACCTGCCCAAATGCCTCCCCTCTCTGAGGAGCTTTGGGGTGCTTTGGCCAGGAGGCTTGGTGCAGAGACATGATGCTAAGTGCTTCCAGCAGTCTCCAGGCCTGGACTCAGCATGAAATGCCATTGTAGCCCACTTGACCAGAAGGATGGGTTCAAACCACTGGGAAACAGCTGGCACAGGGTGAAGCAAGGAGGGAATGGGGGTTTCTTTGCAATGGGATGAGCCCCTGAAAAGAGGAAGATGTCTGCTGATAAATTGGCTTTCACTCCATCCAGGCTGTGCTTAAGGTCTTCAGCAGGATCTGCATGCTGCAGACATTGGAAAAGTGTCTCTTCTGAAGAAACCAGTTTCTAGCACAAGGTGGCACCCAGTAACTGAGCACTGGTGCACTGAAAACAGACCCTTTGCATGCTGAATATATAGCTATTTCCTGGCCAAAAGCACTGAAGACTTCAGCTGAAACCCCAGCAGGAGATGGATGAACCCACTGGAAAAGCAGCTATTGCCCAAAATCTCACAGGTGCCTGGCTGAAAACAGAAAGGTCCCACAAAAAGTCACTGAGACGGAGCTGTGAATCCCCCATACACTCCAGCAGACAGAGCACCAGTTCTCCCTCCCCTGTGTCCTGTTCTTCCTGCTCTTCCTGAGAGATGCTCCTGATCAAGACAGCAGCCAGGCCAGGGTGCAGCACCAGCTGGGACACTCAGCAGAGCACCGCTGCTTTGCACCACTTGACAGCCTCTCCTGCACATTTGGGACATACGGGAGGGCTGGAGCAGCCACTTGCAGAGCCACAGTAATTCACTCGCATTGAGTCATCTGTGATGAGCATTTTCCTCTTATATTTTGCAGGAGCAGCTGGAGATCCTGGCTTCCCAGGACCGAAAGGTAAATCATGTCATGCTGAATTTATCATGTGAGCTGGTTTAGTTAAACTTCCATCCTGTGCTGTTCTGGAACAACACACCAGGTGGGAGCAACTACAGAGAAATAAAAGTATCCCATCATGTACTGGGTGGGGCTGTTTGGTGACAGTTGTGCCCCATTCTTGGCTCAGCCCTGGCCCAGGTGGTGTGAGCAGACCCTCTCCCAAACCAGCTGTTCAGCCGCAGGGGCTGTCCCTATCTCGGGTGCCTGATGCTGCCGCCCAGCACCATGAGCTACAGAAACTGCAGGGCTTCACATGCCCCAGCCTGAGGGACCAGCCAGATTTGGGCAGATCTCTGACCTTCCTGTGCTAAGGCAAAAGGCAGAGGCTCAGATGCTAGTTGCTGCTAGTGCCAGAGGAACATGTCTCTACCAGCACTAGCAATAGGGTAGAGGGAAAACAAGGGGGGGTTTTTTTCCTGATGCCATCATCCTGCATGCGAGAGCCACTGGCACCTGTCGCTGAGCACTGCCTGCACTGCAGCTTCACTCACTGGAGCTTGGCTTGTAATAGCTGGGGGCAAATACTGCTGATCTGGTGGCTAGTTCAGTACATTTGCTTCAGCTGTCACAGCTGCTCCCAAACCACTGACTAAAGCCCTCTGCCAGCAGCAACCATTCTCCCCTCAAGCTTTTGACCCTGCCTTCCTGCAGGTGCATTTCCTCCTCCTTCCCACACCCACCTTCTCCTGGCCCATGTATCCCAGCCCAACGGGAATCACTAGCACAAATGTTGGTACCCAACTCCATGGGCTGGCCAGCAACAGGCAGAGCAGCCAGGTCCAACAGAGACACATCTTGTGTCAGTCTTGCCGTTTGGACCTCCCATCCCCAAATCAGATGTCAGGGGAAAAGATATCCTGCTGGGTCCACCAGCCTAAGAGAGGCAAGGCTGCTGCTCCTTGTACATCTATAATGTGTCCCACCTCCCTGGCAGCCTCCTTGTATGCCTCCTAGGCAACACGGAGAACTGTTCCCAGTGCCTGAGGGTGCTGGGTATCACCACTGTAATTACAGGAGTCTGTGACTTCAGTTCCCACCCGCCATTGTCCCTCTGTACTGGGCTGGTGGGTCTTCTCTGGTGGGCCCGGGAGTGGCCAGGGCAGAACATGTATTGAGTTACTCCTGCCTGGTTTCTCTGTGGCTCTGCTCTGTGTGCAGATGAGCTAAACACTTCCCCTAACACCACAGCCCTCTACCAGTGCAGCAGGATTTGTCTTGAAAAGCAGATGATGCCAAATGCTGGAGGAGGGGAGGGCAGGCTGTGGAAGGTGAAGAGCAATTGATGGTGTTGTTTGTCCAACAGGAATGAAAGGAGAGCCTGGATTTCCAGAAACATGGGGTGAGTTTCATCCTAGGTTCTTCATACCACCATTGGCTTTGCAGAGCAGATGGCAGTGGACTCCCTGCACCAGAAATCAGGACAGGGAAGCAATAAAAACAAATTCAGAGTGACACTGAAGGACAGAGTAAGGAAATATCACTGTTAACCCATTTGCTTCTCACAGCCACATGCAGCTTCTGTATGTCTACTCTGTAATCCAGCCAGGCCAGGAAAGTCATGTCCTCTGAGCACTACTCAAGTCACCTGCCCCCTGTGTGTCCTGGAGGAGATCTGTCTTAGTTTTTGAGAGCCTCAGTGTCCTGGTTTCCAAGATGAAACCACTAGAAACACTGCTATAGACATGCTGCTACTTCAAAGGTAGTTATACCACCACGCTTGCAGTGGCAGGTTCAGTAGATGCAGGTTCACGTGTGTGATTGATAGTGCACAGTTTAACCTAATCATTAAAAAAAAAACCACACGAAAGAAAGAAAACAAACAAGCTCCAGTTGACCCATCTGTCTTCATAAGCTAAAGCCAAAGCAGAGCTACAACCTGCTCTGGCTACACTTGGATGCCATAGGGCCACAGTCACATGCAGAGGCTTGGGCAGATCACAGCTGCTCTAACACCTGGAAGAGAGAGACTGGGATGCCACTGAACTGGCCCTTTGCTGCCCCAGGCACTCCTCTGCCTTCCTATGTTTCCTGGGCATGTAAAAACATTTGACTAATAAGGAACAGGACAAGTCCAGGACCACCTCTCCATTATGAAGGACACCCATGCCCACAAGACAGCCTGGTACAGCTGTGCATCCATTCATCAACTACAGCACACTCAGACACCTGCACCACCAGCACCACTGTTTCAGATCATCTCCCAAGGCTTTCCCCTGTGAATGTCACAGACACAGCTGTAAGCTGGGATGTCTGACAGGGACCATTCCAGTCAATCTTTTGGCATCTGTGAATCTGAGCTTCTGTCAGGTGTGGGTTTGGGGAGGAAAAATAGATTTATACATAATATATATGTATATATTCAAAAGTGCTGTCTGTCCAATCCACAGAGGATGATCTGAACACTGTTTTCTGTATTACAGGTAGGTGTTTTTCTGTGCCACAACTCCTTTGCTGCCAACTACCCACACACTCTCTGTGCTCCCTCTACATTCCTGAGCCTGGACAAATTCCTGGATCATGAGTTTGTCATCCTGCTCATAGCAGCTCCATCACCCAGAACCCCCAAAGCGTCACTGCAGTTGAGAGGAGTCTGAGCACCTTAGACCATCTCTTAGAAGGTGCTCATCTCTCCTGTGACCTATGGACTCAGAAACTGCAGTGAGGTTTGGCTCCCAGCAGGTGTGCACCAGAGTCCTGCAGTGCAAAGAGTCGGCTGGGAGGCTGAAGGGCTCAAAGCCTCCAGCTCAGGGCATGAGGCTGATGTGCTCCCTGGATGCAGTGAGCATGTTATAACTCTTTCCACTTGACCTCTTTCCCTGATTTGCACAGAAGCCAGGAACTGCCAAGAGCTGTTGAGTAAAGGGAAGATCCTGAGCGGCTGGTACACCATCTACCCCCAAGGCTGCAACACTACCACCGTCTTCTGTGACATGGACACGGATGGTGGAGGATGGATTGTGAGTAGGGTGAGGAGAGGGAGGTTTCTATGTCCCTACAGTGATTTTTATTAAGGCTGCAAAGGATGGCACCAATACAGAAACAAAAAGAGAGGAAAACACACACTGAGGGGACACCTGAAGTTCACATCAGCAAGCCTGGGTGAATCCCTGTGGATGCATGGGATTCTCCTGGGACATGTCTCTGGGAGCAGGCTGAGCACCACAGACCCACTCCCTCCTTAAATCAGCAAATCATTTCCTCCTCATTTCCAAGGGCAGATGGAGTTCTGTGAGCAAGGGATTGCCCGGGGGTTCAGTCCCCAGAGACCCACAGCAGAGTCCTGATGCAGGGGGAGTGTTCACTGAGGGGGGCCTGTGCCACACCAATGCTGAGGATGCTTTCAGGACGGGGATGGCCTGGTGGGGCTGAGGGTCTCCTTTCCTGCAGGTTTTCCAGAGGCGCTGGGATGGGTCAGTGAACTTCTTGCGAGATTGGGATTCATACAAACGAGGCTTTGGCAATCAGCTGACAGAGTTCTGGCTGGGGAATGACAACATCCACTTCCTCACATCACTGGGTAAGGTCTGCCTCTGTCCCAGGCTGGGGCCCTGAGAGTCCAACCCCTGTACCACACTTGGTCATTAAAGGACTCCAAACTTCTGGCATCCATCTGAGGACTCAACAATTAATCCTAAAGAGAATGCAGGCTCTTGCAGCCCATTACACACAGGTAAACTGCACTCTAAAAAATAGAAAACTAGAAGCTGGGGAAGAGAAGGAGCTGGCTGCATTACCTGTCCCGGAGATAGGCCAACATATCTTCCGGCTAGGACTGGTTGTGATGGCAGTCATCTTGCTCACACATAGCCGTGGAGTCACAGTTGTCTGCAGGACTCCTGGGAATGTAGCTCTCAGTGCCCGTGACCACCCAACATCAGATCAGAAAAGGTTCTTCACAAAAAAAGTCACCAAAGGTACAGGAGGTTCTACAGGAATTTCAAATAAATCATAAACTCTCAAGTAGTAGAAGCTGCTCTCAAGTTAGCTCAGGGCTCCTTAAACCCTCCACCCTGAAATCCAGGTGCGTAGTCACCATCAGCGCTGCAGCACTGCTGTCCACCTTCTCTTCTAGGACCCTGTGAACTCCGCATTGACCTGAGAGACTTTGAAAACAACTACTATTTTGCCAAGTACGCTTCATTCAGAGTCTTAGGAGAGTCTGAGAAATACAAACTGGTTCTAGGAGACTTCCTTGGTGGAAATGCTGGTAAGTAAGCAGCAGCTCACTGCTAAAGGCTGTTTTCTAGAGCATGTCAGAAGTGTTCAGCATTTATAGTGCAGAGCTGTATCATGCAAACTCCTTGTACCATCTACATTTTGGGTCAATTTTTTAAAACTGGCCATGGTATCCCAGGTGCTGAGTGACCTCTGGGTGCAGGGAAGTAAAGGGACATCCATCACCCACAGAAGTGTGACCCAGAGTATTACCTACAAGCCCAGCCACATGGTTTAGCAGCAAATGTGGAGCCTGGTCCTGAGCAGCAACTCATCCAACATAACCTTCCCAACACCTCTGCAGCAGCTGGGCCAAGTTCTGCTTTCAGTTACATTGGAAGGAAGTATTTGCCCATTACGTTTGGCATTTCCAGGGCTGGGGTGCTGTTCAATATTTGCAACATCAGCACTGCATCCTCTTAATGCCTGATGTTTCTTTTTTTTTTTTAAAGCAAAAAAGTCCTCTGCAAAATTCAATACCCCTCATGCAGGAATGAGTAAAACCAACACCTGAGACAGCTCTGGGTTTATGTGGCTTTGCACACTGCAACTCTGTCTGATAGTCCAGACCTCAGTATGACTGCAGAGATTCTGAGTGGTGCAAGAGAAGTGACACCCATGTAACTACGAGGAGAACCATCTGATTCACAGGCATAGATAAGTTCTCCGTGTGTTTTAGCAGTCCTGGCAGAACTCAGGATACTCCTTTTCTCCAGGACCAAGGAGGAAACCTGGGCAACCAAGAGAACAGCAGGATTTATAAAATCTGCCTTGCATCCAGCAAGGCCCAATGATGCCCTGCAGTGGTGTACAGACACATTAGGTTCCCTTTTGTGCTCTCTATTGCAGTAACTGTGAACGTGTACTCTCCGCAGGAGACTCCTTATCATACCACAAGGACATGCCATTTTCAACAACAGACCAGGACAACGACATGAGCTCCTTTAACTGTGCCACAGAATACAAGGGAGCGTGGTGGTACAACGACTGCCATTACTCCAACCTGAATGGAATGTACTGGTTGGGCGTTCATGGGAGCTATGCTGATGGCATAAACTGGAAGACAGGCAAGGAATATCATTACTCCTATAAGCGAACGGAAATGAAATTCAGGCCAGTTTAACATGGCAAGAGGGTGTCTGACTAGCACCAACGATGCCTCTCTACAGCCAAGAGAAGACACAAAACATGTTGTTTGAGAGCAAAATTGGACCAGGAAGGATATTACGAGTTGTGCCTTCAGCCTAGAGTAGAGACCAGAAGAGATCAGTGCTGGTTTGAGTCCCTGTAAGCACCAGACTCTCACCCTGGACTATCTCAAGCAGCTCCACAGATGCTGACTGAGCCCAAGCATCTTTTTCTGAAAAGTGCATTATCTTGATCATGATGGTGAAGCTACTGCATCTCAGTAAAGCTCTCAGATATTATTACCCTAACTGGTAATTACTAGTAATTTTCAGTCTAATCCATGTATATGAAGCCTCCAATGTTCTTGCAGCCTCCTTTTCTGTTGGACCAAAGAGCCATCTGAAAGGCACTGAATTCCCACCCCCCCCCACCCCCTCCACCCCACTCTCCCCACAGGCTGTGATGGAGCCACAATGTAGACCAGCATGGAAAGGATTGAGCTTCCAGCACAAGGCTGTCAGCACTGCCACCTCCCTCCTTCCCTCCCCACTGCCTCACATAACACATGCTCCAGGACCTCAGGTGGGACCTTAGCTCCTGGAACCACAGTAGCATTGCCTAGCACTTCCCACCATGATACAGCTGCAGCTACACCCAGAGCCAGCTTCAGCCACTCTTCCAGGGCATGTTTCTAGATCTCATTCTTTAGCTGCTGTGGACCAAGAGCTGGATACAAAATAGTCTGTCCAGCAACATGTGTGGTACCAAGACACTACAGTAGTCCCAAGTCAAGCCTTGCACAAGTGGACTTTATGTGAATTACCAGCAGGTGCCAGTACCTTCCATTTCACCTTGTTTCCAGTAGCATTTGAAGATGGGCTATTTGCTGGCAGATGGAAGCAGTTCATCAAGTTCATATGAAGTTGTATTTGACTATTAGCAGAACTGGTTAAAGGGTCTCTACTTCCTGGACTCGTCCCCACAGCTGATGGAGGGCAGGAAAGCCTAGTGCTAACAACAGGGTCAGTGGAAGCGGAGTATTTATTTGTGTTATATTCCTAACAGTCCCAGGTTTATCACATTACTTATTGTACAGATGTGTAGCAAGGGCAGCTCCAGCCCTACAACACTCAGTCCAAACCTTGTGGGTGAGAAAAGCAAAGGGACCACTCACCCAGCACACCACAGCAGATCAACAATGTGCTAAGAAATAAACCTGAGGTGTTCCACCTCCCTATTTACTAGGTCCTGTCCCTGCTCACTTCTTCTTTTCAGGTACATGAGAAAGTGCATGTCTGAGCAGAGAGGCACACACTGGAAGTCCCATAGTCACTTCTTCTCCAGGAGCTTTGTTTTGTTCTTTTCTTACTCCCAGATTGATGTGCCCGAGCAGGAGCAGGAGCAAGGTCCCACAGAGTCCAGCTGTGTCTCACCCAATCAGCTGCTGATGCTGTTGTCCACAGGTAGCTTCTGAGAGAGGCCTAAACTGCTGCCACAGACAGCTCTGCAGAACCACAGACAACTTTGCAGAGACATACGAGCTGGTGCTGACATCCTCAGCTTTAACCTGGCTAAAAGTGCTGAATCCCCTTTTTCTGCTCCCCTCTATCTTCTCCTCTTACTAAACAGAAATCTTCAACATTTAAATTTCATCTGTGAAGGACACCAATGTTAGAGGGATTAAGAGAACACCAAGAACAGTTTACCCAAGCCCATCTAGTCGATATTCCCAGGCTGCCACCTCACTCCATAGAGGAAATATTCAGGTATGACAAGCCATCACCAGTAGTAGGTGATGTGGTTTGGACTTGGCTGCAGAGTGAAATTCTCCTGCATCCCCTAAGCTAGCGCAGTAAGCCATGGGCTGGCACTGCTTCCCCTCCAGCACAAGCCTCAACCACTGCAAGGCAGGAAAATGCTCCCTGTGCTGATACAGGCACGTGGGGAGGAGGGTCCTTGGGCTTGATGGTCCATCCCAGGCACCATGCCTGCAGCAGTCACAGAGAGGGCTTGCACTGACTCCAGCTGGGAAGAATTGAACCACTAACATCAGGATCTGGTTCCCTAGATACATACACATAGTAGCAGCCCAGAGCTCCCACCTCTCCTCAACAGAGGGTTCCCACTCCTCCATCAGCTCTCACACCTGACCAGTGGGGGAAGAGGCAGGGAACAGACTCAGGATGTCCTAAAGCAATATGCTCCCAAAACTGTCAGGATACCATCCAGTCCCTCTTGCTTTCCATCCTCTTGCCAAGGGTCCCCAGAAGAAAAGCAGAATAGCCCCAATCAATCTGTGACTGATCCTGGCCACTGCTCATCTCAGGGTTTTTTTCCCTGTGTCCTGGAAAGCTCATGGATCAGGTTTGCATTTTGTGTTTGAAAATCCTCTTCCGCTAATCAGCAGATCTGGAAAGGGCCAGCCCTGAAGCCTAGAAATTACAATGTCCCTGGAGCTTCTCCAGACATTTTCCTTGCTGCAAATAATGACAAGTGAGGCTGGGGGACTCACCAGAGGAGCAGGGTGGGTCAGGCTATGTGGTGTTGGGTGAGGACCTGGCTTCTGCCGTATCAGGGAGCCAGACACACGATGAGAGGCTGGAAGCATCTCTGATGGCTTGTTGATGCATAGCCATCTGAAAGCAAAAGTGGGGCCAAACTAGTCCTCTCTGGTCCCACCCAGGCCAGCCTCCTGGCCAGATCAAGGCTGCCTCCAGCAATACCCTCCTCCACTGTCTGGGACATGGGAAGACCCAGCAGTCCAAACCACCCATGGGATAACTGCCAGCCTCCAAGGCATGCATAGAGGCTCTTTCCAGGGAGGAACACAGCACTTTGGCCACATGCAAGTGCCCAGAGATTTCACAGCTGTAAATCTGAAAGCTGACTGACTTCAAGAAACTGGACTTCGGAAGGAAAGGTCTTTTTCCTTACTCCCAGATTGATGTGCCCCCAGCAGGAGCAGGAGCAAGGTCCCACCGAGTCCAGCTGTGTCTCACCCAATCAGCTGTTGGCTGATTACTATCACATGAGGAGGTCAGACAGCTTCAGCACTGCTCTGTGATTTGCGTTTGGATGCAGCAGACCCGGTGGTCCTGGCATAGTGAACAGCTTCCTCTGATTTTCCAAGGTGTCCTTGTGAGAGGGTTGCATCTGAAGAGTAACTAATGCCATGTATGAGTCAGCATAAAATAACGTGCAGCTGGGGAAGGAAAATCATTCACTGTGGTTTGGTCCTTTTGGCTTATGGGCTGCTGGGGTGGGAAAGATGAATCCAACACCCTTTGCACTATGCTTATGCTGCTGCTGTTACCTTATGCCCACCCAACCAAAGTGAAGGGATGACTTAAGACACCAGCTGACCCCGCCACAAACCGAGGGCACAGGTGAGCAATAGACTCAAAATACCACTCTTCTGTAAATTACTTCTAACTAAAGGTTTATTATGCCAGCTATGCTGATAGAGCATGAAGCTGTTTGTTTAGTTGTGTTTGGTGCCTATGCGTGGAAACATGACATTTCTGCAGCACCATTCAGCAGACCCAGGATGATGAAACACAGCAGCCAGGGCTGATGTGGAAAAGAACCACTAGACTTTATTTCCAAATGGCGTTTATAAAAACAAACAAATGAAGACACAATGAAGATGCAGGAATGCATGGCCCATGGATGAGCCCAGTATGGCCAGGTCTCTGCCATCGGCAGCTGCAGAGCAAGCGGCCAACAGAGGGAAGAGAGGCAGATGAGGCAGCTCCTGGTCAGGTTCAGCAAAGGCAAGCCTGCTGCACCACCCAGACCCTCTACCTACCATCGCAGTTGGCATCAGTTCAGTGCCAGGACTCCGAGACATGAAATTCAACCACTGACCTGGACTTTGCATCAGACTGGCATGGGAAAGCCAGACCCTGCACTCCCAGCACAGAGGCTCATACCTGGAGGGCATCTCAGCAGATTTCCCATACTTGCTTCTCCCTCCAGCTCTCACCAGTGAAGATAAACTCTTGGTCCATGAGATGCACCAGACAAATTCCCAGACAACCTCTGTTATCTGCAGACTCCCAACATTGGCTTTTCTAGTCCACGTGGTGTCTGCAGACAGTCTTGGTCCCACCTGCCCCTACAGCAGGCACCAAAGGTCCTTATAGCAAGGACCTGATATCCTTCAGTCACCTGAGATCCAGCATGTGGCCTCACCATGAGAGTGGATGGGGCACATGGCAAGCCCAGAAGAAATGCAGTTCTGCTCCATCACAGCTCAGACTGTGCTGGCTAATGCTATCCTCTGTGCTCTGTGCAGAAAATATCCCACCCCCAACCCCCAGATCTGTTTAATCCTTGAGCAGGCTTCTTACCTCCAAGCAGATAAATAAAAACAAAAGATCTCCCTTCATACCACAGCATCACCAAAGTATACCCAACTCCACATGCCTTTTCTACTGTGTCCCAGCCCCACGGTTGTTGCTCTGCAGGACCAGAGTCAGATGTACAGCTGGAAGAAGGATCAGCCCAGTCTGCAGTAGGGCACCACTAGCACCAAGCCTTGCTGGTCCTGGGAAGGGGGTGGCCAGCAGGGGAGCAGCCCTGCAGGGAAGTGCCCATGGAACAAGACACCTTCACCCTGTAACAGGCCATTTGAGGGATCAGTATGTTGAGGGATCTTCCTTTAGTCTACTCTTGTGCAGGCGGGGCAGAGGAAGAACAGACTCCAGCTTGGCAGATGAAGCAGCATGGGGAAGGCTGGGGAAAGGCTTTGTGAAAGCAATGCATCTAGCCAGAGACCGAGCTGAGATGAACGGCTATCCTTCATCCATAGTGGCATTTGGAAAAGGCTTTGCATCCTTAATGCTTTGGGTGTTAGGACATACTGTTGGATTCCTTACTCTCAAGCCTATTTCTCTATGGAAGAAGAGCCCAGGCAAGACTGGGAAGCCCTGGGAGGTTGCAGTTAGCTCCTCAGATCCATGTCCTGGTAGCCAAATCTACACCCTGTGATTTTCGTCCAACACGTTGTTGTGATGCTGGTGGTGGCTGGCTCTCATTGAAGACACACGCATACAACAGTGCTGTTTGCACTGCTGTTGCAGTCCATTTCACTCCACTGGTCTAAAGTGCCCAAACTGGTGCAAGTCAAAAAGTGGCCACTCTCCCTCCTCCACGTTGAAAAGCTTCCCTTATTTTCAGTCTTCTACTTCTTGAGGCTTTGCTTCCCCCCCACTGGGAGTATCCAAATGGGATGAAGGTATTTGCTGGGCAGTTTACTGTTGAGCAGGAGGTTTCTTGTGCAAATAAGTCAGTATCCCACAAAAGCACAAGAGCACCTCTGGGGAATGAGGAGCTGCAAATGCCCCCCTGGAGATGTGGCTGAGCTGGTGACCCTGGTACCATTCAGTACCATTTCAAGCCAGCTCCCAGTTCCTTATGATCCCTGGTGAAAATGCACCATGCTCCTCCACTATGTCTCTGTCCCAGCATACCGCTGACACTCCCTTGTGCACGCACCACGACACAGAGATGTTGGGCTATATATGACACCAAATGTGGCTCCAAGAACTTGAGATGAGGCCCCCAGGTAGGTCTACCACTATGTGGGAGAACAGCCTTAAAACTGTATGTTGAAGGCCCATTGGGCTAAACACTGTACAAATACTTTTTGGTGGACAGATGAATGATCCTTGCTCCACGAGCTTACAGTCTACAAGAACAGAGCCACAGCTCCACCACTATACAGACATTATACCTATTTACACTCACAAACATTTTGATCCCAGTAGAAAACGTCTTTCAGACCAATGGCCCAGCAATCAGCTGATCTAGGGGCAGGGACTTGACTGCTCACCTCTTTCTCTTAATTTGCAATGCCAGACCATTTCTAGCCAATATTCTTTCCACCTCTGGTTTGGATCTGCAGCCCCAGCACCCTCCTCTGGCCCACAGAAGAAAACATGGTATCAAAACAAAGTCCTTTCCTGGCTGCCTGAGCCCTGGGGCCTGCAAGGGTGTCCCACATAGCTGAGAAAGTGATGGGTAGCTGGGCCAGGCAGAGAAATGGGTGAGATGCTGGATGATGCTGGATGCAGCTCTCCCCCGTTTCAGCCTCACAAACTGTTGGCACTGTGCTCATATTACCATGTTTGCAGCAGGACGAGAAGTGGGGAGGCAGACCCCTCCATCTTTGAGTCGAGGCAGCAGGGAGAAATCCAGACTACCATGATGCTGGGACATGTGTCTGACAAAGCTTTTCTGAGAGGAGATATTAGTCAGTTAGTTCATATCTCGATAAGGCACACCCTCCCCATCACCTCAGCCAGCGCAGGTCAGCACCCTATGGGTGGCCCCGGCTGACTCTCCAAAACCTTGCTGGATGCCTCCATGTCTGGGTGCGCCCCTAGTGCGATGCCAGGAGACCCAGACAGAGACCTTGCAGAGCATACCTGCTCCTGCAAGGCTGCCGGACAGGTGCTTTAAGGCTTTGAAATATAAGGCAACTCTGAGGCTCACCAAGCACGCCAAGGCCCCTCTCCTTCACACTCCACAGACCCCAGCCCCCTGCGAGGCAATTCCTCAAAGCCATGGGGATGGAGAAGGGGAATGCCCTGGGACCCGGGGGCACAGGGAAGCAGGAAAGGACAATGTTTCTGCTGGGATTTTGGAAAGCATCCTCAAGGGAATTCAGGTCCCTCCAGGATCATTTGTTTTTAACAAGCAAACAGACAAAGGCTGCTCGGTGTCCTAATTACATCTGTTAAAAACTTTAGCTAGGAAAAACATACCCTTGGTAAGTCCCTTCTCCATTTTTAACCATGTTTTCCATCCAAGAAATTAGAGACCGAGACTATGATTCAATAAACACCAGTGCATCACTTAGCTCTTCCCTTCCCCACCTTCTTTCTTCACTCCTGACCCCCCAGATAGTTAATTTACAGTTTGGGTGCTTCTGTGCCGAGCCTCACAGAAGGCCAGCAGCTCAGCCCAAAAGCTGATTGTCCCTCCTAGGCTCCAGGCTCTCCGTGACATCCTCCAACTCATCCAGGATTTCAGAGAAAGACGGCCTCTTAAATGCTTCCACCTAGAACGAGAAGGGAAAGCTGAAGAGGACACCCCAGACAGGAGGTGGGCGCTCTGCAGCAGCTCTGCTGGCTCCCCCAAGGCTGGGCAATGGCATCCATCCATCTTTACCACTGGTCTGGGTCACACACTGGTCAGTGGAGCCTTCTGGTATCACCACTTGGTGATCCAGGCCTGGGCAGCTGCAGAAAAGCAGCCGCAGAACAGGTCCCATGGTGCGGTACAGCTCAAGCAAAGGCAGCAAGATGCTGAAAACCAGCCTGACATACCCCGACCTGGATAGGACGTGGGAACTGCTCATTCCAAAGCCCACCCAAATGGTGCAGGGGCAGGCATTGTGCAGGGAAAGGCTGCAGGTAGGTATCAGGAGGGAGATGTATCATTCCCAGAGCTTTTTCATGACAGTCAGGATCTAACTGTCTTGTCTCCCTGATGCAGCTCATCCTCAGTAAGCTGTGATCCCCCAGCGCTCCCAGTGCCATTGGGGTGTACCCAAACTGAGAGACGTGGCCTGGGGCACCCCCATCCCACGCGCCCACTGTGCCATCCTGGGGCTGCCCTTTTTGCCTGACCCCATCGAGCCAGCCTGGGGAGTTGCATCAGAAACTTCCCAAACCTGCACATCACACAAGGGCAAAGAACAGCCCCAGGGGCCATTACTGGCAGAAGCCCATTATTATATCAACTTGCATTAGGAAGCTGCCCATCAGAGATACAAGACATCAACACTAAGCCAGTTGCTGACATGAATCACTTCTCTGATTCGGGGCAAGTTATTCACACATCCTTGGGACTCATGCAAGGATTTACTTCCATTTGCTGCCTTGAGCTCCTAGCAATTAGGTGCATTATGATCACCCAGCTTCTCCACTCTGCCTGATTACTGCCTTTGTTTTCCTCTTCCTTTCAGAGAATAACCTGAATCCTTGCTTTCTCTCTGCTTTTCTTCCTGAGGCTTTGGGCATCATGGGGAGACCCCCCAGCTTTCACAATTAGCTTTTATGCTAAAGCAAGAAAGGTTGGAGGACTATGCTCTGATATCTGTAATGCCAGGGCTGGTAACAGCAAGGCAGTGCCCTCCACAAAGGATCAGCCAGGTCCCTCTGCCTGCAGCCTGGCTTAAGGAGGGACTGGACATCATCACCAACCTACTTCCCACTCTGGGGTCGACATGCAAGGGAACAGGCAGGATCTTGGGTTGTTTCAGGCTGTAACACACAAACTAAACACTTCTCCTAGGGGCAGAACTGCACAGTGAATGAAAGCATACTACTGAGCCCAGGAAGATCTCATCACTTCACAGCTCAAGTGGCAGAGCCCTGTGTGCTAGCATTAAGAGCAGCAGGTTCAAGCTCTCCAGGGTTCACAACAATTTTGGTCTCTGTCATACAAGTGTGATACAAATCCAACAAAATCAAAGAAAAAAAAAACCCTAGGAAGAATCTCACCCGACAACAGCTAGCAGCAAGGTCAATCACCCGCTTGGGGCATTCGCTGATCATCCCTTGGAAGGCAGCAACATCCAAGCCATAATCCTGTGAGGAAGGGGGAAGAGTATGTAGTTATAAAGTCCTTCAAAAGCTCTTCATCCTTCTGAAGGTGTTAAAGCACAAAATGGTCATGGTTTAAAGCTTTCGGGGTCTCCATCACAGCTATTTTACTGATGGCAATGCAAAGGTACCAGGGCAACATCAGCTCTGGCAGGGCAGGGCTGCATAGATGGTAAATCATTAGCAGAGCTGGGAGACTGCAGCATTCTTCAGCTTGCTCTGTGCTATCCCTGAGGAGCAGTATGTGTCCTCCTGGAAAAGCTCAGCCTAAGGCAACAAGAGCCACAAAAGCGGAAACCAGCAGAGGACCAGCACCAGGTGCTGAGCAGTGGCTGCTGAGGACAGGAACTGAGAGTCAAAGGGGTCCAGCCAGCTGTTTCCATAACTACAGCTTTGTCCCTCCAGACTTCAGAGTCTCCAATATATAATTCCCTTTCATCTTGTGAACACAGATGGAGTGTTACTTCCTGTTCAGTCTCACAGAAACATGGAACAATCTCTGGTCACTGCAGGTTCTTTGCATTGCTCTTTGGAAAGCAGCAATTTGCTGTTTTCCTGCTGGATTTTTCATCCCTGTTCAGATTAAACTTTCCCTTCCCACTTTGTGGAAGGGAAATGTTGCAAATGTTGAAACAAAAAAGCCCATGTTTTTTAGGAAAGCCCACTGTCTCCACATGAACTGTGTATTAACTGCAATGTATTTGAAAATAAACATTTGTGATGAAAGTTGTGTTTAACCTGCCACTTCAATGGGGAAGTGGAAATGTCAAAGCAAAATGAAGTATTTGGAATTAAGCTCTTTAAACAGAAGTACTTCATCTCAAATTGTTGATCTAGCAAAAATTTTGAAACTATAGATGCACTGAACTCTTGTGCACTGAATATTTTGAGATCAGATTTTCTCATGGAAAAACCTCTAGAGAGAAACCTGAGTGTGAACACATACACGTGTGTACAGGTCTGTCTGGTCCAGAGAGAAGCCACAATCTGATACCATGGAGAAAACGCCATTAGATTTGACTGCAGGAATCATTACCTGAGTCCTGGGAAGCACTTCAGGGTCAGCTGGAATCCTGCCCAGGATTTCACAGAGGACAATGCCAAAGGAAAACACATCCACCTGCAGAAGGGGTGGGAGAGCCGGAGGTGGGACAGAGCATGCACAGAAGCAAAGCATGAGAAAGGAGAGTACCAACAAGGTCCTTCCCTGAGTTATGCAAAAGCCCATCAAAAAAGCCCATTGGAGATGGAGGCACCAAACCCCTAAACTTCTTCTGGGCTTCTGAACCCACCCATAAACACCACAGCCCCACTTGGAGTCCAGCCTCATCTTCAGGAAGCCTGGCCCCGTGCTTTTGTTCAATGTGTCTGGTGCTTCTACCACAGCGCTGGCACCCTCCATAGACCCTGCAACAGGCTCATTGGGCTGTAAATCATGAAGCATCTTCCTCAGAGAGGCTTCACTGTGTTTGTCCATGGTAGCAATCCATTTCCCTAGAAGTTTAACTTAACAAGGCCACATAATGAACTTCCAAGCTGCTAAGCAGAGCATTACTGAGCAAAGGTCTGGGTAGCAGGGCAATGTTTCCCAGGGAAGGAGGGAAGGGCTTTTCTGCTGGTGGGACATGTCACCAGCAAGCAGAGGAGCTTCGGGATGTTCAGGAGCTCCGAGGATGAACAAGGAGCTGAGAAGTAGTGCCATACCTTCCGGTCATAGGGCTCTCCCCGCAGCATCTCAGGAGCCATCCAGAAAGCAGAGCCCACCAAAGACAGCTTCCTCTCCACATCCTTCACAGGCAGCTCCACCACCTCCCTGGCCAGCCCAAAGTCAGTCACCAGCGCCTCGCGACCCCGTGGCATCAATCGAATGAGGCAGTTCTGAAAGGAGCCCACGGGGCATGGCATGAGACTCCCAGTGAGGAAAGGCTTGAACACTTCACTGAGCAGCACCTCGTCAGCCCTCAGCCCCACCTCGCCGTTATAGGCTCTCCCCTCACCAGAGACCTGCATCCTGGCAGCACACATGGAGTGCGCAGGGCAGATTAGGGGTGGACTGATCACATCTGAAGCCAGGAAAAGTCCTTTGAAGAAGGGCAAAGACCGTTGTTTGTTCAACAAACATGATCCACAACCTTTTATCTGAAAGAGACCTTGAAATGTGCATGTTGACCTTATTCACCATGCAGCTGAAGGTGGGCAGGACTACAGCTAGAGCCCTTCTCACTGCCCATGGCTACACTCCCCTAACACAGCTTTCTAGAGGAATTCCTATAAAACTATCTTAAGGTTTCTCAAAACCTCAGCAGTTTCAGACTGTTCAGTTCCCCAGGATTTCCTCCTCAGCATTTGCTCCCAGGGAACTAGCAGAAATGACAGGCATCTTCTCCAGATGGCTCACTAACAACTAGATTTCAAGTGAGCACATACTTCTCTCCTGTATCTTCAGCCATCATCACTGTAGGTTTCCTAAGTTTTCCTGGGGAAGGATGAATTTCTTTCAGGGTTGAGCCACCACAGAGAGACAGAAGGGACAGGCAGGGACCTCCAGCACTTTCCACAAGCAGATCTGGGAAGCTCCTGAGCTCATCAGTCAGCATCAAATAGCAAATTACGTCTCACCTGACTTCAGAGAACACTAGCCAAGAAACCTGTGGTCAGAGTGCACCAGGCTCTTGCCTTGTCCTTGCCTGGTGTTTGCGATTTCATGGTTAGTAACTGAGCCAAGTAAACAGCCTGAGATTACAAAGGTGAGTTTCATTCCTGTGCTGATGTCTCTCAAGAGCCTTCATCAAGAGTCTCTCAAGATCAACCTTCATCAATATTTCAAGTTTCTCTTAAAAAGCTCACAGAGCACCAAAAAAATGGCTTGTAGGAGATACACCACTACTTATTCAGCATCAAATGCAAGGACTTGCGGGCTCCATTTCCATTAATCACCAAGCCAGCCTCTGGCGTTAGCTGACACAGATATGGTCCAGGCTGGTGGCCAACCCCTCAGCTCACATTCCCTGTGATATCATGGACATGCTGCAGATCCACCTGAGGTTTGGTTTGGAAAGTTTTGCCCAAGAGAGATCAACAAGGCACTGCCCCACCATGTTCCTACTGCCATACCAGTGGCAGAGGAATAGCCATATCAAAGCCCCATGGACAAACGTGAGAATGGCAAAGCCCCAGTGCTGTTCCTGCCCCCATCAAGCAGCATGAACCCACGCTGAGGAAAGCAGCCTCCCAGCCAGATGGCCAATACACCAGGAACGTGATGTGCCTTTGTGTTACACCCAAAGCCTATCTCCAGATGCCAGTCTTCACAGCTGGCATGCTGCCAGCATGTGAAACCTGTGGAGGTGACCATCCTAAAATTGGTGACCTGGACCCTCTGGATCAAGGAAGAACAACTTCCCTGCACTTGTGTAAGAACACACACATCTCCTGAGCTCTGCTGGTGCTCTGCGCACAGACAGGGACCATCTCACATGTCACTTGCTCCCAGAGTCCATGACCAGCTCCTGTTAGCAACAGCTTCCTCCTTGCTGTGAGCAGGAAAGAAAATCTCTAAATCTGGCAGAGCTTCTCCTGCAACAGTAGGCAAAGAAAACTATGTGCAATCCTGCACACATTTCAATCTGTTTTCTTTTCTGACAGCAACAGCACTAGGAGCAATATATTTTTATCTCTCTCTGGGTCTCCTGCTTGGCAAGCGATGAATGCAATGGAATGACAGGTTTTATCAAGAAAGCTTGCCTGCAGAGGGATTAGCATGGAGCAGAGGACCAGCATGAGGCCTGAGGCCTCCTGGTTACAGCCCTAAGGGGTTCCTGTACAGCCCCCTAACACAGTTGCCTTCAGCAGTTCAGGGGCGATGTCCCCTTTCCAGCTGTGTACCTTGGAGTTGAGATCTCGGTGGTAGATGTTCTTGGAGTGCAGGTAGATCATTCCTCTGGTGATGTCAGAAGCTAAGTCCACTTTTTCCTTCCATGTCAAACCAATGTCCTTGCTGGCCAGGAGCTCCTCCAGGCAACCTCCATTCACGTACTGTGAACAGAGACAAAAAGCAGGTGGCTGTGCAGCTGGGCACAGGCTCCCCTGGAGCTTCCCAGGTGCTGAACCCTCCCTTGCCAACCCAGGAGCCCCTCCTTCAGGATGGAGGTTGGGAATGCCACCGCATGTAGGACATAGGGGCCCCTGTGTGTGGTACAGTGTAACTACCCATCCTGGCACAGCAAGTCACTGCCGGTCTCTGGGCTCTGCCCCACTGCAAGGACAGCTGTATAAGCCAGCTATGGTCTTCACTCATAGGCAGCGAACTAGAGGCAAAAAGCCTGGCAACAGCTCAGTGACCGCCTTCTGCCACTGACAGCACAGGAACAAGGAAATACCTCCCCAGTACCAGCCTAGACTTTTCCATTAGACCACACCACCACCCCAGAGCCAACCTGGAGATCCTGCCACTCTCTGTCTGCTTTACTTTCTACTCCTGCGCTCCATCCCTGGCTCCTCTTTTCCCCGCCAGCTGGCCCATTCTGGCCCTTTGGTGGTACCAAGCCAACCTGAAACACTTTTAGGCTGTCCTGCCTGAATCTCATGGCCCTGCAGTGACTGTGCCCCACACTCCAGCTGTGACCAGCTGTAGGGCAGAAAGAACCAGAAGCCCCTCCGAGGCAACCTTGCTAGTCCAGACCCACTCACAGGCACAGGAGTCAGAGGCATAGATATGCGTTACAGGATATCTGCCATCCTCCCTGCCAAAGAACCTCAGGGTCCTTGCCTGCCCACAGCACACTTACAAGCAAGGAACCTTTACCTCCAGAATGGGGTACAGTTTGTCATCCTTCACGCATATCCCAAGGTACCTAAGCAGAAGAACACACACACACAAAAAATAAAAAAGAAAAGAAGCTATCAAGGTTCAGCTCAATCCCTCATCGTAGAATTGCCTTAGAGACACCAAGCCAACTCCAGCCCCTGCCAGTGCCCTCTGCTCATGGCTGTAGGATGTACGCACCTAACAATATTGGGGTGGGACAGCTTCTGCAGTAGGCTGATCTCACGCACAATCACCTCTTGGTCCACGTCGTTCTTGTAGATCTTCACCACCATCACCTTACAAGCAGCAGCCTGAGTCACCTGGAGGCAAGGTTGGAGCAGGACATCTCTTAGCTTCCAGAGTTCTGCCAGCCCCTCTGGACAACAGCATCCCTTCCCAACCGAGGGCTTGAATCTCATTTCCCTGCTGCCCAGAGCTTTGCACAGTCATTTGCACAAGTGCAAGGTGCTGTTCCTTCCACATAAGCTCCACTCCAGTGATGCCTGCCTAGGTGGCTGGGGACAGCTAGGTCCCTCCTGTCCCAACACATCACAACACTATTTCTCTGCCAAAATTTGTGTGTTCCTTGGGCTGGAGCAGTTTCTCAGCCCACACTGGGTTACCACAGAGCTGGCCTTCTTCCCTCCAATGCCTTGCATTCAATGCCCCTCCCCAGCCGCAGCCTGCCCCACATCTCCATCCCTCTTTCCTTCCTGGGTCTGATCACTGCACAAGGCTGCTAGCCACTCTCCTCATCCCCAATTCTTTCTGTACTCCTGGCCACAGCCAGCCACCCTCCACCCAGGCTCTGTCAGATGGACACAACAAAGTGCAGAGCCAGCTCATCTCTCCCACACATCCCAGGACGGAGGTCTCATGTCTGCTTCCCAGCCACATGCTAAACTGAACCTCTGCTATGGATTATCACCAGACATTTCATTCCTAGGGCTTCCCCCAGGCAGGGACACTGGAAGCTAAAGAACAGAAAAGAAAATGCTTTTCCCCCACCTTACAACACTGAACAGACTGAGCAGGCATTTTTAGGAGGAAATTTGCTGTCCCCTGTGGAGGCACCAGGGTTGGGCAGTACTGAATGCAGGGGTTTCATGCAGGCTACAGGACATGCAGAGGTCCCCTGGCTCTCAGCCCTGACAGCACCATCCAGGGCCCCTGCACTGCAGCTCATGTTATCTGGGTTGACAATCCAAGTAGCAGTTACCAGACCACATCACAGAGCATTGTGGTACTTTAACATTTCCATCCTCAATTAACATCTGTTTTAAGGAGAACCATGTATCAGGTGTGATCCACACTGATATCCTGACAGGTCCCCCAGGGCTAGCAGAGACTCTAGCCGTGTGTTTAATTTTCCTTCATTTTGAGGTTTATGGGGGTTTGTTTGTTTGTTTGTTTTAAGGGAAACATAGTTTAGACAAAGCATAAGCTGGCTTAAGAGCAGCACTCAGAGTCCCAAAGTGTCAGCCATTGCTCTCTGTCATGGTCTCTGTACAGATAAGTTTACTAGCCCAGGTGAAGACAACAAAGAGTTGCATGTAAGACCTAGCTGGGCTGGAAGGAGAGAAAGTTCATTATAATCAGGGTCACAAAACAAACTGTCTTGGGAGCAACATGAACTGCTGCTTCCTTTCTGAAGGAATTCAACCTGATAGTTGATGTTATTGTTGGAATAACTCTTGCCTCTCTACTCAAGCAGGTCATGAGGAAGGCAGGGCTCCAACACCCTCACCTGATGGGACTTCACAACCACAGACTGTGGACTGTGGGTCACTAATCAGATGATTTATAGGTATATTATAGGTAATAGATTATTACCTATAATAGCACAGATGTAAATATAAGAGATGCTATCAATCATCTTTGCCCAAAGACTGAATGCCCTTATGCCCAGGACAGAGTACAGGGAGCAGCCAAAATCTGGAAGATCTGAAAAACTTTCAGAAGAGCTAATACTGAGTTTCAGTGAGACCTTTTAGCTCTGCACAAACTCTGATGGAGACACTGAGCTACACTGAGCTTCCAGGTGAGACTGCATGTCCCAGCTGGACACCTACAGAGTTCACAAACACTGCCTGGGCTGGTGGAGTTCGTGAGCACTGGAGAAGTTCCTGTCCACAGGGCAATGCAAAGTCCAGCCTGGTCTGGAGAAGAAATGACTGAAAAGCAAGGGTAGACCCACATCCAAAAAAAAGTAGTGGGAGAGATGGGCAAAAGTAATGGGCTCAGAAGGCCTCTTCCAAGACCACAGCCCCTAAGACTTTGCTCTGGCCAACCTGGAGCAGCCCTTGGTCTGCTCTGAATCATGCAAAGTGTCCAGTTTTGTCCTGGATCAGTGTGAATCAGGGAAGTGCAGAGGGGCCTCCAAGGTATTCTCATTTCATGCTAATGAGTGATGAAGGGTAAAGATCTGGTGTTAGCCTTGAATGGAAAAATAAAGGTGAAAATCTGGTACTGGAAAGTTGTAGAAAGACAGGGAGTGGGACTGTGCTTCCTAACGTGTATGAAGCTTTTTGAGGGCCAACAGAGAAAGAGGTTGCTCAGAGGTTCCCTTTGGGCAATGCCTTAAACCAGCCTCAGAAAAAAGAAGTCACGCTGCATTTCTGTCCTGCTTTTGAGCACCTCAGACCTCTATATATGAGAGCTGACAATGAAAGAAGCTTTATGCTTTCCCCAAGAGAAACTCATACCTGAATAGCTCCTTATTGCACATCAGAAAACTAAGGCAGAGAAAGAGGGAAAGTACCTTGTGCCCAGGTCATGCAATACATAACCCACAGAGCAGAAGACTGTGCCCAGACCTCTTGAATCTGAGTCATCAAGTAGAACCAAGTGAATCCTCCTTCCTCAGCCAACCCACATATAACAACTCCTGAGAACGGGCTTAACCAAAGGACAAAGGATGGCAAAAGCAACAAGCAGCCAGCACAAGCAGTGCCAGCACTTTGGGGAGTCTATGTCCTTGCTGCAGGAGCACTTTGGAAGACAGCATCTGTTGGCATAGAGCTTCAAAGGACCATTGCCACTGATGCTTCACAGCAGGAGTGCTGCTGTTCAGGCCTACAAGTCCACAGGGGACTGGCTGAACCAAGAGGACCACGAGTCATCAGAGCACTCAGTTACAGTTGTGCTTGAGTCCCCAGACAAATATCAAGCCCCCACAAAGGGCTGTCCTTGCCCCCAAGTCCTCCACTGTCTTCTGACTATTTGACCCATAGCATTTCATTCAAACTTTATTTTTTTTACATTTCTTTTTCTGCTGCTACTTCAAGAAGTTATTTCATTTTCATTCAAGATCCATGTCTCCAGCCTGTCTACTGCTGGAATTTCATTCACTGCCAGGGCAGGAGGAAAATGTCACGCACGGAGGAAACAGCAACTGTTACTATGAAAATCTGCTAGATAAAGGAAAGAGAAAGTGATGGCAACGGCATGCTGTGTAGGTGGGGAAAGCAATTACTAGAGGGAGGCTGTGGTGGGGAGAGGTATTTGTCATGTATTGCTCCAGTCTGCAGAGAGCTGCCATAGATCTTTGGCTGGAGATTCCCTTTGAACAGCTTTAGTGCATTGTCCCTGGACCTGAAGTTCACCCAAAGGCTTTATCACGGCACCAAGGCCAGATGCAGCAGAGGAGGAGACAGAGCCTTGAGAAAGCAACATGGATTTATCTATCTGACTTGCATATTTTCTGCAGTTCCATGGCCAGATCCTGCCAGTCTGGCTCCATTAGTTTCAACTGGCCACATGTGCTTACACCAGCCAGGGATCTCACCCAGAATATATCAGAGTACTCCTCTGGCAGAAGCATCTTATGCTGGCCCAGGAGAAACGTGCAGTCATGATGTTTACCAGTGGGGCCGGCCAAGCTAAGGAGCTGAACGCAATGGTAGAGTCAGGCCCAACTTTTTCCTCCAGATCTGTCTCGTGTCCCAACAACCAAGACCAGTGTCAGCAACCACATTCGGGAGGGCTGCTGGGAGGAGAGATAAGGTGGGCAAACCTGGCCACACTGCAAAGCAAGTCCCATCCACTCCCCCCAAATAAGCAGTGGCCCTCCTGGGCTGAGGAGCAGCATTGGAGGGGGAGCAAAGCTAGCAGCACCCCGGATCCTGTGCTTGCTTAGAGAGGGTTAAACAAACTCCCACACCAGTGGAGCCTCGTGCAGGGAGTGACCCACAACAGCCCCAGTGAGAAAAGCAGTTTTGCTTTGGTGACATACCATCCACATCCTGCACTGGCTTGCAGGGAGCCACAACTGTCCTGAAATGAAGGCAGCAGAGGCAGAAGTGGACAGACCAGCAGCCTGTCCCAGCCTGACCCTGCCCCAATCCCCTGCTCTTCCCCAGCATCACTGTAACACAGGGCAGCAGCCAGAGAGAGGTGACAGCACTGGCATCTCCATGGGGTGTGGGTGGCGTGTATTCTAGGAGACACATGCAGCTTAATTTTACATTATTTTTCTCTATATATTTTGCTACAATTCTGACAACAAAACCTGCACAGAGCATAAATATCCCCTAATCTCATCCAATACCCAGTTTAGCTCCCTGACAAGCATGTTGTATGGCTAGATGACAGTATCAATGAACATTTATTGATCAAGTCCTCCCATTGCCTTTTTCACTATGGAAGGGGAGATGTGCATCAGAGGTGATGTACTAGGTGTGCAGTGGGGGGGGGTGTCCTTTCCTCCCTCACTGCATCCAACCGGCCAGAGTGAGCTGGGAGGGACGAAGATGAGGAAATAAGCTCAGGAACAGGTTCCTCAGGTGAGGCATCATCTACACAACCTCAGCAGCCATTCAGCTGCTCTCACACAGGTTGTGGGCTGCCTGCATGTCAGTTTACCTTGTAGACCTTGGAGAAGAAGCCGCTGCCTATCAGCTCGGCGTTGAAGTTTTCCCAGAACTCCAGCTTCCTGACAGCCGTGCGCAGCCTCTGCCAGCGGTCCACGTGGTAGTAGGTGTCAGACGACTCACCATAGTACTGCATGGGGTTGGAGGGCTCTGATGCAATCAGCCCTGCCTCGCACATCATGGGGGCAGCAGCTATAACACAGTGTATTTCACAGTGAGCCAACAGCAGCATTTGGACATCAAACAAATACCTGCACTAGAGACCAGGACTGGATGAAGCCTCAGGAACAGGGGGAGAGGAGACAAAGCACTGAGATGATGTACCCTGCAGCACACGTTGCACTGGGAAGCACCCATGGGCACTGTCTCCTGGATAAGTCACCCTGGGCTTAGGTCTGCCTTATGCAGGTTGTATTTGGACTTCTTTAGACTAGGACTTAAAGATGTCAAATTAGCATATATTCATTTATAACATCTAAAGGTTTACAATAGATAGGATGCATCACCTTCAACACATGACAGTGCAGCCCAGGAAAAGTCCAGGGCACTCGGTCTTGCTCAGCCAGCTTATGCTGGGTTAAAAGCCACTGTGTCTAAATTGGGCTTTTAGCATAGGTCACGTGCCACATACTAATGCCACATCCACTACCCCAGAGCTCTAGACAGGGCTTAGCTACTATTGCAGAGGGTCATGGCTTGAGTGTGCTAGCAGGAAACACTCAGTCTTAAAAGGATCCTCACTCATCAGATGCCTACAGTTCATTATAAGCCCTAAGGAATCACAGAATAAGGAAATGCCCCAGCAACCCTCCTCCTGTCTGTGTATCCTGAATTTGACTCCAAGCCCCAAGTGCCTCTGCTAAATTGTCTTCCTATTCTACTGCTCTGATTCTCACACTTCCCTCTCCAGTCCCCTCGCTCCATTCCCCTTTCTGTCTTTTACAGCACCAGGCTCACACTCCTCCAAAGCTATATGCCATCCTTCCCCTTCTGCCACATCACTTGCCTTTAGTTACATCCAAAAATGCAAAGGAGGCAAATCCAGTGGAAAATGGGCTTCTGAGACCCTAAGTGAGGCAAATAAGGCACCTACTTCTGGATAATTGTAAACAACCATTGGTACGCTACAAAGCTGTCTGAGCACCTTCCATTCACAGCATGTGCTCAGATTCCTGGGTGCCTGGCAAGCTGCTTTGCCAGACTGTCACCAGATGAGACAACGTTCAAAAAAGGGTAATTTCTTCAATGCTTCCAACTGAAGCAAAGCTAAGATCTGCCCTCCCTAAGTTTCTGTCCTAGGTCTTGCACCAAACAAGAAGCTGTATCAGCATCCCTTGATCCCATGCATTATTTCATGGCTACTTTGCTTCTACAGGGCGAGGCAAAATCTGCACCGAGATGTGCATAAAGTATTTGCACCAGCCACCTCATACACCCACAGTCCAGCAAAGATCCAAAGAGAGAGCTGCCAAACGGGGACAGAGAGATGTGGTGGCAGGGCTAAGCAGGGCAGGGGACTGAGAGAGCTGAGGGCTGGGACATGGGGCAGGCAGCCAGTACTGAGCAGGGCAGGGATCCCTGACACAAACAGCGGGCAAGCTCCAGGCTGAGACTCAGGGAGCTGCAACACCGGGGAACAACAAAACAAACTTCTGAAAGCAGCCAGACCCCAAAGTTCCCACCACAGGACAGTCCGACGCAGACTGCAGGAATCCAGTCCCAGCAAAATCAATGTGACACATGGGCTCCTACCCGACTGCATGGCAAACGCCTGCAGGACCAAAGCCCCAAAACTGCTCATGAACAGCAGAACCCATGGCCATGATTGGTGGAGAGCACTCGGATCAGGCAGGACACGTGAAAGAGGTTACAGGGCCACAGCTTTACCCCTGCTCCGACCCAAGGACAGGCAACCAAGGAACTTCCCATGATGGGATGCAGCTGCAGGGACTGGAGGTTTTTGCCTTGGGATGGTCACTGCTCCTGATAGCCAGCACCATCTGAAACGCAGCCATGCCTGCCCCCCTCCCATCCAGCCTGCACCCAGGCACCACACACTGGCACAAGGGAAGAGGTTCATGTAGAAGCAGGGGACAGGACTCACATCAATCACACTCAGCGCTGCTAAAGCCATCCCACTCTGGCTGTCACTGAAGGCATTACCTTCCTGCAGGGACGATTCTGCAAGGATCTCTCTCTCTGGGCAAAACTGCCCAGCTTTTGCAGGGCTTGGGGCACAGGTGCAGCAGGGCAAGGAACCGGCACAAACTCGTGGCAGAGTGCAGCAAAGGGCTTTTGTTGCCCAAGGCCATGCTCAGCATGCAGGGCCATGGAGCAGGAGGGCAGACACAGGAGGAGCTGCAGCTCCAGGCCAAGCAAGTGGTGCTTCACACTCAGCGAGACACAGAGGAGTTCTTCCACATCTTGCACAACTGGGCAGGACATAAGGGGACGATGACAGGGTCTGACAGATCCTGCTGACCCTGAGCTGCCAATGGAACATGGAAAAGGAATGGCAAAGGGTCACCCTGAGCATTGGACCCATCTTAGACAGTGCACTCTCACGGTTTACCCACTCCTGTGCCCAATCCTGGGACACAGGTTTGCCCTCTCCTGTTGTGTGGATGGCAAAACAGTAACACAGTGAGCTACGGCCTCACCCCGGCGTGCCAGTCACTCACTGGCAGAGCTGTGGTGAGCAC